TAATTGAAAAGAACTTTGCAGTTTTGGAAGGTGTATGAGTTCAGCAGAAATACTTGCTGAATAGTTCACAGCAGAGGAAGTTCCTGTAGCTGAGGGTACTAATCTCATATATTGGATGTGCCTTGGCAGATATCTCCAAATAAGTCACAAATTTTGAAATACACTGAGAGCTTGAGTCTTGTGGAATGTGATGCTGCTTTTATGTATCATTGCGTTTGTGGAACCAGTGTGGACACTAATAAGCAAGGTATAAAAAAATGTGTTCCACATCTCACTGTGAGGACGTGGGGGGAGCCAAGTGCTAAGGTACCAGATCTTCCACTCTGGATTTAATGCCACAATTACATTTTTTAAAAATTAATTTCCAAACCATCCTGAATTCCAAAGCCTAACCCCACATATATTTATGCACAAGTGTAAATTTGCTGGTCATGCGTAAGGGGGGTTTTAGGTGGATGAATGTTTGTAGGAGGGGGGTGAATCGTGCTGCAGGGCTGTCTCTGAGCACACACCTGATCTCATGGTCTGGTGTGCAGGACTGCTCAGCAGCCAATATTGGCAGTGCTGGCTCTGGAGCTGTGCAGCAGGAGGATGCTGCTCTCACTCCTGGGAGCAGGGCCGTGTTTGTGCAGCTCCTGCCATTCCCAACAAGCTTCTTTCGTTCCCAGGAGCTGGGATGTGCTGAGGGCTGCCGGGCTGAAATGGGAATGGAACATCTAAAGCTCTTTGTAGGAGTGTTCTTGGTGCTCAGGGTGTTCTTGGTGCAAAGGCTCAGCTCTGGGGGCTGTGTACACCCCACTGCTCTGCCACTGCTGGGCACACACCTTCCTGCCACGAGTGCTGAGCTGCTCCTGACCAAAGCCTTTAGACCTGGTTTCCTGCCCCTCAAACGGCAGCTGTGGTTCATTTTCCCCTTGTGAGCACAACCATCAGCACATTCCCTGGTTATCCTGCACAGTGTGGTCTGAGCCTGGCTGCATCCTGCAGGAACTCCACCAGTTAACCAGGAGCACTCGTGGCTCTGTGCCTGCTTTCCTCTTCTGCACTTTTACCACACTTGCAAGTGAGTTTTCCTACATTTATGGTTATTTTTGTGCCGAGGACAATAAACCAGCAGGTGGAGGAAGCCGGATCGAGTGTATTTGCAGGGTTTTATTAGGCTTTGCACTGTCAGTAAAAGAATTTTTGTAGCCTTCAGCTCTGCCTCCTGCCCAGGAGCTGGGGCTGGGCTGCTGGGGGATGTTCATTGGGTGGGTTTCAGATGGGATGGAGCAAAGGCAGCCCCGATTTACCCTTCCCTTGGCACGTGTGGGACATGATCCCATGCCAGGAGATGCTCAGAGCCCTGGTTCTGAACTGAGCTGCTGACTCGGTGGGTAATTGTGTTTTCAGCTGATATTGTATTAAGAGGTTTGCTAATTTTTGCTCACTTTTGAATTGAGTTATTTGGGAAAAGTGCTATCAACAGCTGGAAAATCATATAGTGAATAATTTATTTGACAATGGCAAAAAAATAAAAGTAAAATAAATAATTCAGCAAATATTTCTCAACCAAAACAACTGATGTCAAGCTCCAGAGAGATGGATCAATTTTTAAAAATAGCTCTATTACATGATTAGCACGCTCATTTCTTGGTGATTTGTCTTGCTAGGTGGTTCGCTTCATATGGTGATTCCCACAGAAAAATGACTTTTCAGTCTACCTATCCTGAATTTTTAATAGTAAGATGACACTGAATAAAATTAAATTTTAATGTAGTGCTGTATGTATCACTGTCTCTTGATACATGAGTGGTGAGTAATGACCTTTGCTGCAGCACAGAGCTCCAGGTTCCACAGATCCTGGGTTTAGGATGCCCTCTCTGACCCTGGCATGGGCTGAGCCCAGGTCTCGCTTCCTTGTCCGAACTATTTTCGTGTTTATTATTTGTGTGCTGTGCAGAGGATGAGCTGTCAGTGTGCTGACAGCACGTGGGGCAGGTATGGCACCCTGCTGTTGGGTTGGGTTCATAAAACTCCAGCTTTTGGGGAAGCTCTGGGATGCTCTGTTGGGGTGCAGGGAGGGCTGGAGTGCTGCTGGCCGTGCCAGGCAGGTGCCACCGGGGGCTGGATGTGGCAGCCCCGAGCTGCCCTGGGGAGCTCTCGCTGGGGCTGAGCCAGCCCTCACTGCCCAGCCACTGCCACGCTTCCCTAAACTCCCTTTTCGTGGCACTTCTGCAGCATTTGAGATTTTACCTGAAGTACCAGTTGTAGGAACAAAACAGTCCACGGAAAATCTGCAATCGTTATCCAGTTTAAAAGCGTTCTTCAAAAACAAGCTGGAAGATATTCATGGATTGCACTTTGGAAACCAGAGGGAGCAGTCAATAGGATTGGATTGATTACAGTGAGAAATGTCCCTTTGCCTGTAGGAGCACTGGGAGGGTTCAGCCTGTGGGAGAGGCAGAAGGACGTGACCCAGAGGAGCTTGTACAGCCTGGCCGGGCACAGGGGGCTTTTTATTCCACTTTTATTCCAATACCTGGCACTTATAGAATTCCAAAGGTGACCGTGGATTGCAGGATGGAATTCCCACCTCTCCAGCCACACTGGTCCCAAGATCAATCAATCATTTCTCTCCACCCACAGAGAAATACGTAAACTATTCTATTTTACATGAAATTGTGTCAGAACTCTGACTCTCAAATATTATCAGAAGGCTAGAGAAGTTTTATGAGAACATTAACACTTTCCAAAGAACTCTAAAAGAAAACACTTTTAAAAGTCAGGCAACAGAGGAGCACCAAGGAGAGCCCACCTGGAGCAGCCCCTGGGCACACAGAGGGCTCCTCCTGCAGGAACCAGGGGCTGGAACAAGATTACAAACAGATCTGGGCCTGCTGGTGGATAAAACTGCCCTGAGAGATGCAGGGAACAGTGGGAAGGATTCCCCTGAGGGATGGATGCAGTGAGAGGGGTTTGTCTGTACAAACCTGCTGTGGGTCTTGCTGAAGTGAGATACAGAGGGATAAAAAGCAATGTGGGGAACCATAGATTCCATAAGGAATTCCACTGACTGACACAAGGAGAAGAAAATACATTAGAAGGGGTCTTAGGCATTAGGGGTTTTGGGAAATCTGTACCCCTCAAGTACCTCAGCCAGTGGGGAAAGAGAGAGGGAAATGTGGCCAGGATAAATTTGGGATAAAAAGGAGGCTGCGTCCTCCAAAATTTTGAGAGACCCATGGGAAACACCCTGTGGGCTCTCCCTTGACTCAAATAAGGTCCCAGGACTCCTCTGGCTCCTTTTTGGACACAAAGCCCTGGTGCTGGTGGGCTCATGTTCTGCACTCCCTGCAGGACCCCCTTGCCCATCCCGTGCACGTCCCAGAGGTGCTGTCAGAGCCCAGGAGGAGTTTATTGCATTGCAAGGAGCTGTTTATTCAGCAGAGATGTGATCTCTGTCTGCCCAGCAAATGTGGAGAGGAATGCAAATGTCCCTCCTGCCACAGCACTTTGACTCAGATATAGAGGCTTCTTAAAACGAACAGAAAACCCTCACAAATAAAAGGATTCTCTCTCCTGAGACCAGAGTTGTGGATATTTTTTAAGAATTCAGCAAAGACTAGACAGACAATCTTTTCTTGGTGAAAATAAACTAAAAGATTATCAGGATTCTCTCTGGCTACTTTAAATATAGATGGATATATATATAAAAGTATATTCCGTCTGGTACAGGAGATTTTTCACTCAGTGGTTTCTTTTCTCTTAATATCTTCTAGTTTCCTCCTCCTTTTCTTTCCCCACCCAAAATCTGTTTAGGTGTGAAGACAGTTCGTTTCTGGGCTGCATGTTCCCAGGAGCGCTGCAAAAATATGGATAAAAATCCACTTTATTTAAAGACTTTGGCACTGCTGGGGATCTGCTGCTTAGGGGAGTGTAAATGAGCTCATGTGCTCTGGGGGAGCTCTGGGGCTGGGGAGAGAAGGGAAGGAGGAACCAAAAAGCAAATATTCTGGTTCAGCATTCAGTGCTGCAGGAATAAAAGCCCCTCAGCATCCCCTGGATTTGTGCTCTGCTAGGAAATCCCACACTGCTCTGCAGCTTTACAGGAAATTGAGTATTTGCTTGTCTCTCTCGATGCCACTGGCCTAAGGAGCTCGCAGTGGAATCTTCACTACCTTTCCATGCAGTGGCTGTTTTGTAACAAACTTTACAGGAATTGCATCAATTCCCTTTGCATTTCTGCTGTGTGGAATTCTCTGAGACAGCCCTGGAACCCGGGGAAGGACAGCCCCAGTGCCCCCACAGTGTCACAGCCAGCCAGGCTTTGCTCTGCTCTGGGGTTTCACTCAAGGATCCATCCTGGCAGGACTGCTGGCATGAAAGAACCCAGTTTTGTAACCCTCTCACAACAAGCTCGATTATCTGTAATTCCTGGTTTAGCAAAGGACAAAAGGAGCTTCCCACTGACATTCACAGCAAGGCAGCAGTATAGCCAAAAATTAATTCCGACTTTTGCAGTGCTCTGCTCCCTGCTGCCCTTGTTCATGGGCCCCATCCCGAGCTTTGACCTTTCTTTCATGCCTGTCTTTTTGATAAGCAGAAAATACTTTTGGTGCAGTGGTTTCCCCTTTGAAGGAGGATCCCCTTTAGGCTGGCTCACACGCTGCTTTGCCCTGGAGGAAATGCAGTGTGCTCCTCCAAGGGAGGCTCTGGGAGCCCGTTTAGGCTGTATTTCAGCCTCTGTTTGCCTTTGATCTGGCTGTGTTTGTCCCCCTGTGAAATGGGGCAGTGCACAGTGAACCATGTCACAAAGTGTTACTGAGCCACTGGAATTGGTGGGAAATAACCTGAAATCTTAAGTCAAGTGCAAATGATTAATTCATTATTAAATCCATCATCCCACCCAATCCTCTCTTTGAAGGAGCCTTAATCCAAGGTTTTATTAATATGAAAGCAATTATATTCCTGGCTTATCAGTCATGTAATGAACATTTCTGTTCCTTTCTTTGCTGCAGTGCGGAGGGACCTGCCTCTGAAATCATGCAGATTGATTTTGAAATTGAAGAGCTGGCTGACCTGCCTGAGACCCAGCTGATCACCTGGCAGGTGGAGTACCCTGGAGACACCACATCCGACCTGGGAATCTCCAAGATCTACGTCAGCCAGAAGGAGCTGGTGGGAGTTCTCCCCTTGGCCATGGTAAGGCTGTTGGGCACTGCAGGGCTCCAGCGCTGCCCTGCACCCCAGTGTCTGCAGCTGGGGGGGACACAGAGACCTGGGGAGCCAGTCCTGTCCTGTGGGGAGCCACAGCTTCCCTGGGAGCCACTGCTGCTCTCAGCCTGGCTTGTGGGGCAGCAGCTGAGCTGCTGGCCTGTCCCCTGCTCAGAACTCCTGGGATGCTCCTTTCACCATGCTGCATCTCTGCCCTGCACCAGGAGTGCTCTTCCCTTGGGCTGGGTGCTGAGTGACAGATTTCCCAGATTCTGAATGCTGGCTCCGTGTCCATGTGAGAGGGAGAAAAGAAATAACATGAGCCCTGACTGGTTTGGGTTGGCTGGGCAGCACAAAATGCAGTACGTAGCCACTGCCTGTTCTACAGAAATGCATTCCAACAGGTGCCCCATGGGCACAGTGAAAACTACAGTTCTTGAAAATTGCCTGATCCTTGAGCCCTGTTTTTACCTAAAAATGCCTGTTAGATCCCCACATTTCACCTACAGTCAGCAATTGGTTCTTTTCCTCTTCTCTCCCCTTCCCATTTCTTTGTTGTTAGTGTCAAAGCACACTTGTGTGAGGTCTGGCTGTGCCTCAATTCTGTTCTCGGGCAATCTGTTAGAAAATATTGACACATTGCTATTTAGCGCTGAAAGAAAAACAAAAATCAATCTCAGAGCATTTAAAAAAATGTAACCTGGATGCTTGCCTGGTGCTAGCAAGTTAATTATGCCATTGCTGAAACTGAAGGTGTTCTCTGCACTTTCAGACTCCCAGAACTGGCTGCTCTTGTTATTTGTACTTACCAACTTCCCAAGTAGTCGGATGCTGTGATTCTTTATTTCACCAAACCACGTTTTCTCTCTGGAGCCTTCACTGCAGGGTGTGTCTGACAGCTGGGGCTGGGGCTGGCTCCCAAACCAGAGCTGTGTGTCCCCTCTGCTGAGGAGGAGGAGGCCCTGGGAGCTCTCTGCTGGTGCCCTGGCAGGGCAGGAGGCTTTCACAGACTCACAGAATATTCTGGGCCAGGGCAGCAGGTACAGCTCTGCTGTCAGCCGGGCCCTGGAGTGCAGGCACACGAGTTCTGGCTGAGGGTTAAGGCTGTAGAACAATCAGATTTACGTAATGAGAGCTGTTGGGGTTTCTGCTCCCTCCATACATAATTGAAAAGATAAAAGGTTTCCTCCCCAGTGGCTCCAGTGGTGGCAGGAAACCACAGCTCTCCTCACGTGTGCCCACGAGCCATGATTGCTTTATTATCAAGTGATATAGTGGCAAAATATAGCTCCTGAGAACAAAAATAGCTTCTGCTGGCAGCTGCTACAAATCAGCTCACTCTCTTAATTTCCATTAAAGATGAAGAAAAGCCCATTTTGCAGCAGCACAGAGTGCTGTGCCCAAAGGTCAGGTGCAGCTGCAAAGCCATCAGGAGATGGCATTTGCAAGGCAGAGGTGTGGGGAGAGCGGGGAAGGAGGAGGCAAAGAGGGATGGCAGCAGTGCAGGGGCAGCCTGGGAACCGTGTCCCCTCCTCTGCAGCCTGGGAACCGTGTCCCCTCCTCTGCGTGAGCTGCAGGTCAGGAGCAGCTCCAGGTGAGAGGAACCCCCAGATCTCTGTCCTGCTGGGCTCTGGGCCAGGCAGGGATCAGTCAGTGCAGCCCTTCTGGGGCACACAGCTCTGATTGGTTTGATGCTCCAGCTCTCCCTGCGGTCCTTGCAAAGCCGGCTTGTAATTTGCAAATTAAAATAAAAAAATGAAAAAAATTCTCCTCTTCCATTTAGAAAGAAGCACAATGAAAGGAATGTGTTATTTCTCTGGAATAACAGGGAGGTGCTTTGTGACCTGCTGGTGAAGGGGCTGAACAGGCTTGGCTGGGCTGTTAGGAACAAGGATGCCCTTCCCCTGCATCTCCTGGAGGTCAGCAGCCTCCAGGGAGGGATGGTGGTGGAGCAAAAGAACATTTTCCACCAGTGTGTGCGTTCCTGCAGTGCCACCCCAGGTGTGAACCATGCGGGAACGTCTGTTCTATAAGTCAGGTCCATCACTAGCTGTAAAGAGTAAAGGTCTTTATGTGTTGAACAGGAATCTGTTACAGTGCACAGCGTGCAGACATCAAATATCATGTTTCAAATGGTATTTGGTTAAAAGCTCTGTTTTGCTGTGTCCCAGCATTGTCAAGGCAAGGCTGACCTGACCCATTCTCCTCTTGCCAAGGAATGTGCTCCTGTCCTCAGACCCATTAGACACATTTTGGCTTCTCAGAAGTCCTGTTTCTGGCAGTCCTATTAAATAAATTGTATCCAAAACCTCAACACCAATTTAACATTATTCCTTCTAGATAATTCATTGTTTCAACCTGCTCCTGATGTTCTTTTTAAAACTTTAATGAGTATGTTGACAGGAAGTAAACTGTTCTACTTACCGTGAGCATGAGAAGCTGTATGAGCAGACCAGGTAAATAAATAAAATCAGCTGTGGCAGTAAAGAGGCTATTTATTATAAGGGAAACTTTATTTGTACTACAATTACTTCTAATAATTACAGGGATCAGCTGTCACGGCAGTGGCTGGCACTGATGGATTTTGTAAATACCCTTTTTTTATTGGTGCCCTCGCAAATCCCTGTACCCTACACATTTCATTGTCAAACAGAGCTGTGCATGTTGTGGTAGGGATGGCAGTGCCACGCTGGGGCTGCTGCAGCTTCCTCTCCCCATCCACCCCCGAGCTGCCCCTCAGGGTGCTTCTGGGTGAAATTGGGCTTTTCTGCAAGGTGAGCCTCCCCCTTGGGAGCGATGCAGAGGAACAGATTGGTTTGGGGGGATCTGTTTTGGCTGGGAGCAGCCCGAGCTCTGCCTGGCAGCAGAGCAGTGCAGGATCACATCAGCCAAACCTCTGTCCTACTCAAATTCAATCAGGAAATATTCCTAAAGACTTCCACTGACAGCTTTATGAAAAAGAGAGAGATGTCTAGAGAGTAGATAAAAGCTTTTACCTTCCTAATTCATAGCTTTTAAATTGCAATTACAGTATTCGGCAAGTTTTCAAATATTTAATTAAAATGTTACCCAGTGCTGAAAAGGAGCCTTTTTAAATCAAAATGATTAGTGAATCACAGATGAAATCCACTCCTAAGAAAGGGAGAAACCGTTGGATCATTGTGATGTTGCCAGCAACCATTTTCTTTTCAGAAATACATCCTATTGCTTCCTGAAATTAGACAGACCAAGGGCTTCAAGTTTCACACCATAAGACAGACTTGCCATTCTCCCAGTGATGTCTCAGCACCCACCAGCTCTGATTTTGAGTCACCTTTCTGGGAACTAGACATCCCAGATGATGTCAGAATGCCAGATAATGTCTCTTGCCAGCGTTGTCTGAGTGTTCATGTCCTGGGAATGTTTTGTTCTCTGTCTCAGAAGATGCATGCCAGGGTTGGGTTCTGTTTCCTGGGGTTTTGTAGCGTTGGTCAGGGCTTGTTCCCTGCACTGGCACACACTTGTCCTGTGACTCAGTGTCACAGCCAGATCCTTCTGCTGCTCTGTGGTTTCAGATGGAGATTTTATCCCGATGGCTGAAATTCTGACTGTCAGTCCCCACGGGGAAACTTCTCACTGTGACATTTCATTCCATTTCTTTTTTCTGCATCCTTGGGTTTATCTGCTGCTTCTGTTTAATAGTCCAAACTTCTGTATGGATGATGCCTTCTCAGCTGATATCAGCACATTTGAGTAGTCTGTTCCAGGGTCATTCCTGACAGCAGGAAAAGCCCAGCTTTTCCCTGGCTTATTTCTGGGATATTGGATCAGTCTGATTCTGATTCTGGAATGCTGCTGTGGCGCTCCAGAGGAACAGGTTGTCTCACTGGCTCTCCCAGCCCTGCCTGCACCCAGAAACCTCCCCTATGGATTGGTTCTCGTGCTCAGGCAACTTCCACTGCAAGGACTTTGTGTTGCAGGGCTTGTTAATCAATCTCTGTGCAGGGTGGGAGTCAGGCCAGCTCCTGTTCCACATCCTGCAACTGCAGGCAGCAGCACAGCTGATGGCAGAAAGTGTTTCATTGACGTGGAAGAATCTGAGGGTCAGGAATTAATTGAATCACAGGGATCTGAAGCTGCAAGACATTTTTCCTGTATGTAGATGTTAATCATTCAGGCTTTCTCAGAGCCTGTGGCGTTGGCACCTCTCTGTGCCCAGAGGATGGACCAGGCACGGGCTGTGGCAGCTCTGGTGTCCCCAGGAGTGTCCAAGAGGTGAAGGTCCTTGCAAGAGAGCAGGAACAAGCACAGGGGTGTTTTCCTTACGAATTACAGCCTGAGAGAAATGGCTTTGCACAGGAGCTGTTCTTTCTGAAGTGTCAGTTACATGTGTTTTCTTTGATTAGACTGAACTGGGTTTGAGACAAGCCCAATCCTTCACCCTAACAGTCTTGGTGTTGCTCTGGAGCTGTGGAATGTAGAAGGACCAGGAAAACACAGCAGATCTGAATTTAGAGCAGGTTTCACCAGAACTTCTCCCTCCTTCATGGCAATAAACACAAGATTTCTAAATCCTGGCCTGTTTTCACACTACTGTAAAGCCACTGTTTTTACAAGTATTCTGAGTTTAAAACAGAAATAATTGGGTGCTGAACCGGGTTTTTAGAATTATGGTCTTGTAATTATTTTATAATTTGATAATTTTTGGCTCCTGTCTGGTGTGCCCTGTGGGGAGCAGCCTGGGGAGCAGCAGGGCTCCAGCTGTGGGGGCAGCAGGGCTGCAGCTGTGGGGGCAGCTGTGGGGCAGCAGGGCTGCAGCTGAGCCCTGCTGGGGCTGGCAGCTCCTGTGGCTCTCGGGTGTCACTGGGCCAGCCCAGCTCAGTGGCCCTGGCCTGGCCCCAGGGCAGCGCTGTCCCTGCCTCGGGCTCTGCTCCCCCCCTCCAGCTGCTGTGCTCATGGACAGATGTTTCCCTTCTGGCCTGAGGGAGGGGGTGCTGCCTTACCTGGTT